AGGGCGGGGGGGCGGCGCAGGCCGCGCGCCAGGCCTGGCCAATCCAGCCCCTACCTGCGTGGCGAGGAGCGGCTGCGGAAATGGGCGGGCGATTGGTCAGGTCTGTTAAAGGGGCCGCCGCGCGCAGGCTGGGGGGAGCGGGGCGGCAGCAAAGTTACCTGGAAGAGTCGGGGTGGGAGGGTTAAGAACCTCTATTCTCTCCTCACCGGGCTGCAGCGCTTTCCCAGCTCTTTGTACTTATTAATTTCCTCGTCCTGCAGCCTAGCAACAACTGGAGAAGGAACCTGATCCTGCCAGAGGAAGAAACTGAGGCGCCGAGAATCAGAGGTCTGCTTCTGGGCAAATTCACTCACATTTGGGTTTTAGAGGGACGTCAGACACACATACCCCTCAAATCCCAGAAATTGGCTTTAAAAGGAACATGCTCAGCTTCACTCTGGAGGATTTTAACAAGCAGATTCCTAGGTTTTACCCCAGAACTTCTAATTCTCTATGTCTGCAATGGGACTGGGGAAAATATACATTTTTCAACTCCCCTCCCCCCGAGGTGATTCTGATGTGCGTGGTACAAGAGCCACACTCAGGTACGTCTTTTAAGTCTATCATAGTAATGAAATTAAATTCGACAGCCAAAAATAAAGCTAAACTTTTTTATCCTCAAAATCAGTAATACGGTTGGGAGACTTGCTTACTAGCTGGGGCTGGAGGTCACCTACTTAGAAACTCAGAAACAGTTCCCTAATGGGAACTGAATTTGAAGGGCTGGGATGAAGCAACAAGCCAGTCTTGTCCTCTGACTCTGTGAAACAATGCTTAAATAACTCAGTGGCAAACACACCCTTCCTTAGTGCCATCACCAGGCCAAGTCATAACCCCAGAAGTGTGTCTTGCCCTTCTGGAGCTTCATTCCGATGCCATCAAGCTCTGCTCACACTTCCAGCCCCATTCCTCTCCCCATCTGACCCAGAAGTCACTGCTCTCAACTTCACTGCCTTCAACTTCGAGGTTAGTCCCCTTCAACCCAGCCCATTCTACAAGGAGTGAGTGGCTTCGCACAACAACCCGTTTTTTGCTGTGATATCTGATGGCTGCTGTGTTTGCCAGGGACAGCTCTGCATACACTGATCAGCCTTGTCAGGGATACGGCTCTGTGTTGCAGACATTAGTGCCGAAATCACCATTTACCAACCCTCGGCCTTCCCAAAGGAAAAGGGCCTCTTGTCAGTAGGAGAAGGTTCCAGTTGTGGATATCTAGAAATGTGCAACGAAGGCAATTATCAGTGGAGAAAAGTCCAAGTTCCGCTTGGCCACGTCTTAAAATCCCCACCTCAGGAGGAGGGGTGGGTGCCCTGGCACTGCACCACTGCAAGGGTCCTTGGAAGCTGGCAGTATACATCTCAGAGTGCCCACCTACTTCTTTGGCCATGCTGAACCCTACATAAATATTAGATTAATTAATACATTATCAACCTGACGTCAAACTAGAGGCCAATAAGATCTGATGATGAACACTTAGAAAGAGGCAGTTCTTTTTGAAAAGTGAGGAATTTGGATGCTTTGAAAAATAAATGAACATATATTAATAATTCCTACCTATTAAGAGGTTACTATGCATCAGATACTATGTCAAGGCCTTTGCACATATTAATTCATTAAAACCTACCATAACCCTGTGTAGTAGGTATGATTGGTATTTTCTCCATTTTACAGGTGCAGAAACCGAAGCTCGCAGAGGAAATTGATGTGTCCAAGATCACAGATTAGCAACAGAAGCAAATATCACTAATCTTCACCAAAAGACAGAGTAATAATATAAGAGCATTGCCTTAGAGTCAAAGTTCCACTGCTTTAACTTACCATCTGTTTAACCTTGAAGAAGTTATATAATTAAATCTCTTTGAGCCTCAGCTTTCTTATCTGTAAAAATGGGAAAAGAACACTTCTGTCTCTTTGGGCTGACATGAAAATCAAACAGAAGAAAATATATGAATATATATGGGCTTCGAACTTACAAATGAAAAGAGTGATTTTAAAGCTCGGTATCTGTGACTCATTAGAGCGACCTATAACGAAGTTCAGGGATTATGATGCTAAATTCAGATATGGAGCAAAATTCCTTACTTTGTCCCCCAAATAGCTGCTCTATCTGTATAGCATGTACAAAGTGAACTAAAGTTTTCCACCTACAGTAGAGGTAAAAGTCGTAGAAATTCAAGCCCAAGTTATTAATCTGGCATCTACACCCCACCTCCCCCCAACCATCACCCCAATCTCTCTCACAAGATTTGACTTATTCCCACTTAAGACATTTCAAGATAATCCCCATTTTCTCATGAAACTCTTTATTTATTTATTTAGGCAACCCTTGGTTGACCTCACAGATTACAAGGACCTTATCAGTTTACAATCCCTTATTTTTTTTTTACTTTTTATGCTTACAGCACCTGGTCTTCCTACGTGGTCTCCCATCTAAGTACTAACCAGGCCCAACCCTGCTTAGCTTCCGAGATCAGACGGGATTGAGCTCGTTCAGGGTAACATGGCCATAGACTCGTGAAACTCTAAAATCAAAAAATGCTCTAAGATTTTTTCTTCAGTTTTTTGACACAGAGTTGCACTTTTGGAGGGAGAAATGGTTAAGTATGCAAAAACTAAAAAGTGGATCCCCCTGTACATCTAAAAAAATGGTAGGGATTTATTGTGCCACAAGCTGCACCCTTAATGAGCAATCACTGATTGCTCAGTAAGCACTGGGCAGTGTGCTAAGCACTAGGGATGAAGATGAAGGTACTTGTAAAAAAGTGTAAAAATGGCCATCTTTTGGCACTAGGTCTAGTAGAGAAAGACCAACAAGTTGATAGACCATTACAGGCTTCCACAAAGGTAATCCCAGGAGCGGGCACAAAATAGGCACGTATAATCCCTGGAGAATCCCAATGATGTTTTAGAGGTGGCCAGATGAAGGCCATTAAGAGGAGAAACCAGAAAAGTGGTGACAACCTGAGTAAGTGTTGTCACCAATGGTGAATATGTTGGAGAAGGAAAAGAGTGGTCGACAGCAACATGTGCTTCAGAAGGGTCAAGTTAGAAGAGGGCTGAACAATACCCACTTGGGATTTGGAAATGAGAAGATTATTGGGATCATGGACCAAATTCGTGCAGGTGGGGCTGGAAATGCAGAGACTTCCTAGAGCTGGGATGAGGAGAAGGGCTAAGACAACAGAATAAAGAGGCCGGGGCATAGGGTTACAGGAGGCCCAAGGGGACAGAGGAGTTGCCAGGGACAGGAAGAGGGTCTGCCCTTCCACTGTGGAGAGGAGAATGCAGATAAGAATGGGTGTGGGTGCAAATTCATTCATGGTTGAGAGCAGGAAGTTTAGGAAATTCCCGCCTATTGGCTTCTATTTTTTAGCTCTAAAGTGAGAAGCAAAGTCAGCTGGAGAGTGGGTGAGAGGTGATAACAGCAGCTTAGAGGGAAACAGTGAAGAACTAGAAAAGCCATCGAGAGGAATGAAAGAGGGAGCTGCCAGACTGAGAGGGAGGATTCTGGGCCGCCCAGAGGGCTCCAAGACCACAGAGTTGGATGGATGGATGGTTATCAGGGGGAGCTGCAGCTGGGCCCAGGTGTGAAGAATGCAGAGTCAAGAATTTATAGGTAGGGGGAGGGTGAAGTGAGTAAAGGGGATCAAATAAATATATGGTAGCTGAGGGAAACTGGACTTTGGGTGGTAAACACACAATAGAATATACAGATGTCAAATTATAACGTACACCTGAAAATTATATAATTGTATTAACCGATGTTACTCCCATAAACTTAATTTAAAAAAAAAATTTATAGGGCCAGGAATGGAAGAAATACAAAACAGTTTGGGGTGCTGACAACAGGGTTTGAAAGCGATGGATCGTGGGTTCTGTGTTGGTTTAGAGATACAAAGAAATCCAAGGAGGAGGGGATGGACAGGAAGAAATAAGTGGGGACAGGAGAGAAGAGCCAGACTTTCTGTTCGTTTGGAGTGGAATGGGGCAGGCAAGGTTTTCACGGAAGAACAATTGTGATGACAAGGTCAAGTGTGGCCATAGAATTGGAGTTCCTAAAGACACAAAAATCCTGCGTTTTCCCCTCCCTGCGGGTCCCTGGCGGAGAACGATCCGAGACTGCTCAGTCTTCAGCACTTTCTGTTCACTCCGCACCACCCCTGAGGGACTCTCACTAGGCGAGAGTGCGGAGAGCATCGCGTTCTCAGCAGCTTTCCCTTCTAAAATAAAAAGCTATTAATAATCAGAAGACTCCCACCGCCACTGAGACAGGAGACATCTCTGGTCCAGAACGCATCACCCCTTAAGTAGCAGGAGTGGGAAGAGCTACCTGAGGGGCAGCTTCAGGGGCTCTGGAGACGCCTCAACCAGGGGGTCGATGCTCCCGATGCTCCCGTGAATAATTCCTGGCCATCCATTCTGGGGCAGCAGACTGTGCGAGGAGATGTCGATTATTCACTTTGCTGGTTAGCACATGATAACAGAGGTTATTAGCTAGAAATGTCTCTTTCCGGAAATGGACTCAAGGAGGTCTAATATCCCCCGTTGGGGGAATGGCGGCTTCTAATTGATGTGGAGCAGAGCCAGAGTGGAATTCCTAGGCAGAAGGACTGATATTTCCCTCCCTTTCCCTGCTTGCTGTGTGCCTTGCCTCTCCAGGGCCCTCTCCACACTCTGCGCAGAGAACGAATATACCGGACAGCAGTTACTGCCTCGTTTTCCCTGTAGCCATGACATCACTGGCCATCCTTGCTGCCTTCCAACCCAGGCCCTCTGCTCGACCCCGGCACAGGAAATTCAATCTCCAGCTTGCCCGGAATCACCCTGGAGCACAATTCTAGCTCCAGGATGGAGGGTCTGCGGTGCAGCCAACAGGTGCTGGCCCCAGACCTGCTTCTCTCCTCCCCACCAAAACACCTCACCCCCTAAGTAGCAGGAGTGGCAAAGCTTAGTTGGCCATTTAACGACATACCCATCCACCTAAACGTAGGGGAAAGTTGTTTATCTGTTTATTTTTTAATCTCGAAAAGGCGATGTATATATCCTGATATAGGGGAGCTAGAAGTCAGTGGGAAATGTCAGCTCCTGACCCAGGTGGTTAAACAGAATTGTAGATGGAAACGGTAGAATTGCTAGCCTTTGCCATTTCCATGTGGCTACCCTACTCAGCAGCTATTCGATTCAGAAGACAAAGATGATCCATATTTGGGTGAGAACTTAGGCAAAGAAAATGTTTGACTCTGTTTTGGCAAGGGTTCCCCAGAAAGCAGACCGTGAGACAAAAGCCCACATACAATTACGTTATGGGGGAACGTGAGCCCGGGGAGCATACCTGAGTCTTAGGGGCCGAAGGATGGGAGCAGAGATGTTTGATAATGTGTTATTGGGGTGGCCACATTCCAGGTTGCTTGATATGGAGGGACTGAGAAGCCTTGTGAAAAGCATCTCAGACCCACCATCTGAGATGGGGGAATAAAGGGAAGGCATTTATCCAATGGCTTCTGCCCCCATTGGTGAAAGGCTCTACACAGGGGCCTGAGCCCTGCTTCCAGGATTCACTGGCCTAGCACTGAGTGGGTATAGAAGAGATGCCCTGGGCGGGGGCTGAGGGGTGCCAGCTGCGGGCTCAAGGCGAGACACTGTCGGATTTCACCTACTGGAAGCTGGTAGGAGCGCTCACAGAACCGGCCACCACAGCAGTGCCTGGAAGATCTCAGGTGGCGTGTAAGCAGTTTCTGATACAAAGTTTCTTTTCAAAAAGAGGAACCTTGCATTATCCCCTCAAAAGTGCCATCTTAAGTTAGGATGGAGGGATATAAGATTTCAAATGTCTTTTAATGTTAGTATAATGTTCTTTTTAGGGAAGCAGCCTTAGGCCAGTGGCTTCGGGGTCATTTGGACGTGGGTTCAGGTTTTGCCTCTGTCATTTCTGAGTCATGTGACCTTGGGGAAGATATTAGACCTCCTTGAGCCCATATCCTCATCCGTAAATTGGAGACATCCACATTATATGTTATCGCAAAGATTAAGTATATGTATAAATGCTTAATATAGCATCTTTACATAGCAGGTGCTCAACTAATGGAAGCTGTTTTATTTTTCACTCTAGGGAAAATTACTGGCCATGGAGTATAATGCATGCAGGAAGACAATGGGGTAACATGCTTAAGCCTCAAAAGTAGAGGTGAAAGACGCTATCATATGGTTGCAGAAAACCAAAAAAGACTTCTAATATTTCAAATAACCAAACAGCTTTTATCCTCGGTGACTACGTATCTTGGAGTCTCCAGGAAAGCATAAATTTCAACTATTCTCTCTTGTCCCAGTACATGAACTTGTTTGAGAGGCAGTCACCTTGATCTTGGACCGGAAAACAACATTATAGGTATATCCCATCAAGAAGGGGAAACAAGCTCTCGGGTTTTCTTTGCTCTGCCCACCCCTGGAGTGTGGGAAACACAGCTCTTCCTTCCCAGGGGCTCCTCCCTCCCAACCTCAGCTGAGGGGGCAGCTTTGTTTGTACAGGTGAGCTAATTAACAACCAGGTGACTTTCAGAAGAACCAGAGGCTTGAAGCACAATTCATGCTACACAGCAAAGGAGGAATCAAAATCCCCAGATGGAGGGCTCCTCCCCAACTTCCCCATCCTCCCCTCCAACCCCCACCCCAGCGCCCCTGTGCCCCTGTGATCCACCACAGCAGGAAATGGTTTGGGTTTTTCTATTATGGAAGTGGTAGAAGCTCAGTTTAGAGTGTTGAAAAAACACAAAAACTTAGAAGAAGAAAACAACTCACTCATTTTCTTACCACCTGTTAACAATTGTCAACATTTTTGTAGTATTTCCTTCTGTTCTTTTTAAAAGCATCTTTTGTTTTACATAGCTGTTATTTCACACTATATACAATTTTGTAGTCCCTATTTAAAATTTAACATTGTCACAAAATGAGCAGCAGTACTATAAAGGATA